CTTCAAAGGCAACTGTTAATTCAATTTACTCGAAGCTATTAACTGAATTATAAATTTACGTGTACCCTTTATTACCTTGTCCTACTACCAGAAACGACCATTTTCGATCAACATAAAAATATGATTTTATAGGTAGAAATTATGAACGTTCACCGTCGAAGGGGGTTAAGGAGTTGAAATATGTTCAAAGCTGAGTGACACTTAATTTTCCTAATTAACCACGAGGAGTTTTTCCTTTGTAGCCGAGACAAGAGAAAGGAAATGCGAAGAGGAAGGCATCGAGGAGAATTGAAATAAAGAAGAATCCTCGTGCCAGAATGGAGAGGTGGCGCGAGCTATAAAACGCGCGTGTATGTCAGTATAATAATACGAGGTCGCAAGTCCGAAGGGCCTAGCCTATTTTTGAGAGGGGGCTGGCGTTGGGGAGGAGACCCGGGGCAGAGGAGACCGGATGCTAAGAGAGAGGCGAGGCAAACGGGGGTTTTCTCTGTTCGGCGGGCTCGCACGTGATGCAGAGGGGACCGGAAGTGCTCACTCCCCTACGCCTCGTGCCTCTCTCGGCTTCTCTTATATAGTCCCCGCCGGCAATAGTAATGGGACTTACGAGGATCGCACAATAAGGACACGAGAGTTCGATGCGCCTTGCTGCCTTCGTTTCTCTCCGCACGCTTTTACCGTTTCTACGCGTTCCTCTTCTTACTTGCTTTTGCCTTCGTTTATGCTTAAACCAGACCAAAGCCACCTCCTACTTTTATTCTGTCCTCTGCTTTCCTTTCTTAAACGCGCCGCCTTTTGTCCTTGTGCCAGCTACACGTATACGTCTACGTCTTATGGGGGTTAGCTACTCGGATCGATCGTTCCTGCTTTTAACCCCTTTACCTTATGAATTTCTTTTCCTTTTTTTTCACGACAAGAACTATTGCGAAATTTGATGAGAAGTGAAGATTAAATTCAAAAACTCTACATTTTAACCCCCGCAGGGTTTGGTGCTTGGACTTTTTCCAACTCCGCTAAATTATGGCCGAGATTTAATTATAATCATTGTTAATCATATCATCCGCTTTTCGAGACTTTAATGCTTGCAATGGCGGTCACGTAACGTATTCGTTCGAAAAGCGGTCGTGCAAGATCGTATTTACTTCTGGAGGGGCTCCTCTCTATTTCTGCATCTGTTCGATTCTTGTTCTCGGTCTCTCCAAGTGAGCAACAATACCGTCACGCAGCCAGTCTGAAGGAGGGTGCTGCATTTAGGGGTGCATTAAGGGAGGAGCACTCGAGGACATTATAAAACTATCTTGCTCTTCGAAATATTGGGGTAGGACTCCTTCCTTTTCTCTCCTCTCTCTGCCACACGGCTTCCGGTTGTAACGTGAGCTTATACTCTACAATCCATCTTGCTTACATTTTCTCTCTCTCTCTCTCTCTCTCGATCTTTAGAGCCACCAATCACGAAGAGAAGATGGAAAACGACGTCGAGGATGACGTACAGTGAAGAAGAAATATTTTATTTCTAAAGCAATTATAACGGTGTTAATGTATTGAGCTGAAATAATAATGTAGGTTTATATTCAGCTTTTCTAAATAAATAATAATTTTCTGGACAAATAGTTTCATTGGTACAGTTTTGCCCTTCACTGGATATACACAGACAGGAAGAAGGGACGAAAAAAATACCCTAACACATAGATCTACACACAACGTGGTCGTGTCGTGAGTTCTGAATGAGCGAGAGGCTTTGTAGACCCCCGAGGCGGTGTACGAACTATGAATGAACGAGTGAATGAATACAACCTGCCTCCACCATCATCCCTTTTCCCCTCTGCGTACGCCTTTTCCTTTCCTGCCTCGTTTCATCCCTCTGCTACCTCTCTCTTTTTAAATTCTTCATCCCTGCTTAATAGCATTTATTCCACAGCCTTGCACAATTCTATACGACTCTGTTAGCATATGTTCACCCTCTAACACCCTTCTATGACAAACGATCTTCTATACTTTTTCTGTCGGGGGGGTTCTTTCGAAACAACGCGATAAGATAGTAATTTATTATAAATGAGTACTTCAGTATTTTGTTGATATGATTTTAAACGTGCTATCGTACGATTTGCTTTGTTTATAGCAGTGTAAACGTGGCTTAAACAGGTATCCTTATGAAACGCTGTTAATTAGGTATTCGATGCGGGAAGAACCCACTTGGAAGGTGATCATTAGCAACGATGATTATATGCAACACGCTAATTCTTATGCCGTCAGTCTCTTTCTCAGTCTGTAAAGATCCAACTTGTACAGCAGTTTCGATATCCTTTCAAAATCCGCTTAACACTTCTACCCCCGAAACCTACAACTGAAAGCGTAGACTCATTCACCCTTCTACCTTTCAATTTCCATCGAACGTCGCTGCTCAACTCGTTCAACGACATCCAATACCCAGATATCAAAGCAACCTCTTCGATTCAGCCCTGAAAAAGGACCCTTTAATCGAGACGATCAGTTTTTCCAGCGCACACGTGCGCTTCTGTTTCCCTTAAGAAAAGGAAGAAAAAAAATTTCACGAAACCTTTCTCCTTCTCCGATGCAGGGGTGAAATATGTGAAGACATATTTTTGAAACTTGAAATTCAGCTCTGCTTTCGCAGAAGCACAATTCTTATGGTCGTTAAAAAAAATAAAAGCTATGCTCGAATCAAAATGCCGCATGATCAACCTTCGGTTACTTATCACGCGGTGGTTGCTTAACAAATAATCAATTGTTACTCGTCGGCACGATTGACTAACCTTTCCATAAAGGTATCGAATGGCGTCACACGATGGCCGTGCCTTTTTTGGGCCGGGTGTCAGTAAACTGTTGGAATCGCTATACCGTCCGCCGAGGCATCGGAGCCATCGAGCCACCGAGGGATTCGACTTGCTTTTGCCTTCCGTTTAATTTATTCACGCGCGACCGTGTGCGTGCACGTGCGATGAAATACGTGACGCGAAGCATCGAATGAACCCCTCGATGAACAGTAATCCTCGAAAATTGCTCGATCAAACGCTTCGATGCTCAAAGAACTTGCTATCGATCATCGTTCGGTATTCGAGAAACGTTTGCTTCGCTTTCGAAACACCATTGCCACTTGCTACCACTTTGATGTCGAGAATATAGCGCTCAGGCGTTTGAAATTACAATTTTTGTCCTGCTTGCTTGAATAAAGGGACTTAGTGAAAAATTGGAAAGATTTGTGAGATATTAAATGGTAATTAAATGGGAATAGAAATTAAGTGATGAACTTCAAGCTTCCTAAATATTTAAGCTTTTCAACATTCTTCCTTCTGATTCGAGGTGTAATTAGGTATCATTGGTGTACGGATTGGAAAGGTTGTGAGAGTTAGCCGAGTAAGTAGGTAGATGTGTGCAAGAGTAACGTAATGCATCGGTTCCAAGAGGAGGAGGTCGAAAGCGAGGATAAGCGAGAGTCGAACCAGAGACCTCGAAGAGCCGCGATACACAACGTAACAGTGCTCCGGCAAGCAGAAATAATGAGTCTATTATACGCTCGTCTGTGTTGGTCGTCTTGCAACGACACGTTTCTACGCGCATACTGAACGTGATACAGTTCGCCAAGCCTTAATGCAAAATCTTTCCAAGATTTTATCGTGCAAACGCCTGTCACAGATTGATGAAATAACTATCTGCGTTATCGTAGAAAAATAAACACCGATGAATAGTTAAACGTACGGAGAGCCACGACGTATTAATACGTTACGTAACGAGTGAAAATAATACCGTACAAACGGTTTCTAAAGTCTCCAATGTAACCGTATCATTTCTTCATTTAATAAAATTCAAATTTTTCATCTCCCATGTTCTCTCCGAGAGATTTTAAGAGATTCGAGGATTAAAGTAACCCTCTTCGCACGAACGAAAATAATAAATCGGTAACTAGGTAGAGGAAGAAGTATATTTTTTATCGGACTAAAGACGAGGATGCCGAGAAAAGCAACGGAGCGGCGACCGACGTCGTCTTCATTGTCCGCGGCGAAGCGTGCAGAGGGCCCGACTTTCCCTCGTTCACCCACGGTCACTGCTGCAATGACGTAAGGCCCCTGGCTAGGTAATTGTTACCTACGCTACCAACGTTCGCTTCATAATGTTCTACTCCGTTCCGTTCCGTTCCGTTCCGTTCCGTTCCGTTCTATTCGAGACGGCTCCAAACCGCTCGGGCCTCTTTTTATTGCACGATAAACTGAATCGAATGCCTTGAATGGGACTACTTATAGATTCGGATAAATCATGGATCATTGGAAGCATCGATCAACCGAAATGGTTGTAGATTTTTCAGGAGGCACTACTGAAAGGCAAACGACCCGTGTCCCAGAGGTGGATGGTAACGGACGGTAGTCGCGAAACAAGGAAAAAATCCAGGACAACAAATTGCTCTGCTCTCAGATGAATGGGAGGCTCCACTCCCAGTTAACGTTCCGTTGGCCTGTGTTTTCTATTGTTCGTTGTTGGAACGACGAGTCCTTCAGACTGAATGAGTTGCGTCAGAATTCAGCGATGAAAACAGCGAGAATAAGGTGAATCACGGCACGGATTGCGCACCATCAACGACCTAACGGATGATATTGCAATCCGCCCTCTAACTGGATGGTAGTCGACCTCCAAAAAGCTTAATGAGTCGATTTCTAGGGAAAGAGAGATGGTCTACGTAGAGCAGTGAAATCGCGAGACTATCGTTAACGATGGCGAGGACGATCACGTGGACAACGACGAAATGTTAAATGAGAGACGAACAACGACGATAATGAGAGACCTGTGGCAACACGTGCAAACGCGGCGAACCGAGAGATGTTATCAGCAACCCTGACGTAACAATGAGAAACTCCTCTGCCGAGTGGCAACCGCTTTCGTTGGTCGTTGCAATCGGGCAAATAAATAAACCGGCTTCGCGTCGCATACTTTGACGATTCTTCATTCGAGTACTTCCGATAGCGTTTTATATAGTGAAAAGAGACACTTACCATCGTTATGATACGGTCTCGATGGAAGGGTGGCGGTGGCGGTGGCAGTGGCGGTGGCGGTGGTAGTGGCAGAGGGTGGTTGAGTTCCGGTACGAGGGTTCGTCGACGAGGAGTTCGAGGTTGTGGAACTGGCAGGCGTCGCTGGACTCTTGTGTTCCGGTGTCGACACCTGATGTCCTGTCCCTTGGTATCCCAAGAAATCACCTAAATCCGGCACGCATACGCTTTCGTACACGTTGCCCGGCATGTTCTCCAGCGAGGCCTTCGCCGCGTCGACATCTGGATGGAAAATGGAACAAATCCTCAGTTCAGGAGTTTGTGCCACGCTTTCTTGAACTGATTCTAGTAGATTCTCTTGATCCTCTTTCTTCGCGATTCTCGCAACTATATATAGTAAGATCTGTCGCTAGATGGGATCTCGTTTGCGAGGGTAGAAAAAGGAAATGATCGGAACGTTGCAAAGTAAAATCTGAAGTCCTAGCAAAATTCCTGCCTCGCTAAATTTTTCTTTTTTCTTTTTTTTTTTTCATATATCTTCTTCTTTAACCTTTGATTATAGTTAGGCTATTTACTTTGAAGCGATGTTTAAACGACGACCAGATCACGATAGGTGTGATTAATGTTTGTATCGCGGTGATTATAGAATTCCGTGTCATTAAGCCAATTACGTTGGTGCGGTCCGCGTGGTGTAAAATCGAGTGTTCGTTTTTATCGTCAGAGCATCGTGAACAACGTAATCGTGATGAACGATCTAGCAGTGTGCTCCATTATTACGGCCATTATTGCGAAGGAGACGATTGCCATTCGCGTGATTCACCAACGATCATTCTACGTTTCCGATTCAAAAACATTGGGAGAAATGAAAAAATCAATGCTGGAAAAGATCCTGCTGCTTCCTTTCGATCAGATTGCGATCAACGCGAGCAATCTTCCTTCTGTATCAAGGTTAAGAATAAATAATTTTAATCACCTTGTTCTGATTCGAAATTCCTTGGAAAAGGAAATATGCCAGGCAGGTTTCGTTTTCTCTCTGTTCGAGGTATACCCAAGTATTCTACGCTATTAATCTTCCTTTAGATCTTCAGATAGTTGCTTCGATACAAAATTTCCAAAGTGATTAATTGATTGAGGTAGAAAAAGAAAAAACAGAAAGGTATTACGAGGAAACGACAGAATTAGCTTGTAAGCGAAGCGAAAGGACGATCAGCGGGTTTCATCAAATGATTCGATCGTGTCTGCAACGGGAGGATACAGCTTTTTAGTTTCTACTTTTTTTTCTGTTACGGCGCACGAGAATTTCCTAATATCCGTTCTCGTTCGCGAAATCAAAGCGATTACCCACGCTATGTCGCGAGTAACCGCGTGTACCAGCACGAACGGTGCTGAATTACGATTTTCCATTGTTAAAAGTATCTATTTTATAGCAAAGTTGAAAATCTGAATTTTGTCAGAGACAGTAATTCACTGGGCTTCTTATCAAAGTATCGCGAAAGTAGAGATTCGTACTATGATTGTGAGCGAATTTTAATCAACTTCTCACCACACTGCTGCGTTAATTTCTTAGTAATTTTACTTTGAAGAAACAATGAAAGAAATATTGCAATTTATCGAGGTTCGTATCGAATCGAAAGCAATCGATCGAATCACGGTTCTCTGGTTGATCAGACGACACGAATAATCGATAAGGAAGTACGGGCTTTTACTTAACAGGGAATTAAATCATGGGTGAACCTCTGCTTCCGGCCTCGGAACATTTCGTTCTCTCTCTTCCTTTCTCTCGATCAATTCGATCTATCTCTTTCTGTTTCTCGCTCACGCCCTTCCTGTCTTTTCTTACCGAAGATGTAGAAGTTCCAAGGAAACTTCCTTTGGCGAATGATATACGATACGAGCGCTGAACGGCTCGCAAATAACCGAGACAACGATCTTGAAGAAAGATTTTTGTCCAAGAGAAGCCGAATAAAGTAAATATCGGTTTCTTTATAGAACGCTTGTTAATTGAAAATTTATGTTGACGATCAGAAAATTAACCTACTCTCTGACTATCTCCAACGCCGATCCTTTTTCCGAAGGAGAAAAAAAGAGCATCGCAAAGCTATTGGTAGTAAAAATGGTGCATCTGGAAGAATGGTGAAAGAGACGGGGTTTCGAACACTTCAATTTCCACCGTGTTCCCGTGAAAATCGTAGGTACGATCCCATTGTAAATGGATCTCGGGTTCTATCTCGAGTAGAATCTGGTAATCGAAACACGAGTACACACACGGTTACCAGCCGAAAACCACCTAAGTGGCCGAGGTAATGGCACGGGAGCATTCTGGTGGCACAGGATATCCGGAGTGGGAGTTTCTATAGCGCGGCTCCGCTTTTTTTTTTTTCCTCCCTTCCTATTCTCTCCTTGGTTCGAATAAAACGTGCCGATTCAACGCTTCGAAACGCTTCGAAACACGGACAGGCCGGTGCATCATGAGAGATGAAGAAGAGGGCAGAGGGAGGATCCGCGTCTCGCCTCTACACGATCCTCGTCATTGTTCGCGGCCAGTTTCTGCTCGTACCTGCCGTGACATTGCGATTTTACGGAAATTCGATCTATGTTTTTCCTCTCTATCCGATGAAAATCTGTTTGGTGCATGGAAAACGATTCTTCCGGCTACAACCTTGCGTTTCCCCCCGCGAATCTTTCGTTTTCCATTGCTGGGCTAACAGGGCAGTCTAAACTTTTTCTTTCGAAACACTTTGATAAGGCAACGAACGTGTCAGATAGGATATTCTCAATACGCGACTCTCTATTCGTTATAGATTTGGAAATTGTTGAACGTTCGTGAGAAAGAAAGATAAAGTCACGTACCTTTCTGGAGAAGCTCGAGGTGTTCCCACAGGATATCGCCCATGAAGGCTGGAGCACGTGCCAAGAAGGATTCCTTGCCCATCGCACAAATCTGTTTGCCCGTCATGTGCTGCCAGGGCTGCATCGCCACACCCTCCAGGGAAAACTCACCTATCGCCCAGCGTAACCAATGGGCCACAGCTGTTTCTGACCATTGTCTCGGGTCTGAAATGCATCAGCAACTCGAGTTAGATTACTCTAGTTAAAATTACAATTACAATACTATGTTTTTGCATCCAAGTGACAACTGTAGCACCGTAAGGTTAAGTTAAAGCTAGAGATAGGGTAAGGGGATGAATAAAATATGGTGATGGAAGAAACACGAAGAAGAAGATCGTCGAACGACACAAAGGCTTTTCGAAGAAGAAAAAGAGATAGAAAGATATATAGCGTCGGGTTGACGACATGATCGGTGCTCAGGCCCGGCCATCTTTGGTAGAAGTAATACCGAGAAACATTGGAATGTCCCATTTGAGGTGCGCGCCCATATTTGCACGCGTGTCTTGCATTGTTTCGCGGTATCTTCCCGCGTAAAAGTACAGTTCGGCTCATAATGCAAACAGAAATTACGAACGAACGAACCGTTCTAACGCGCGAGGCTGGTTTCCTTTCTCTTCAACTTCGGACACTCGGCATCGATTCGTCGAAACGTGCGTAAACGAACCTTCGAATTGTTCGAAAGAATCTGCCAGGGAAATTGCAAGGTATCCCCGTCGAGGAAAAACTTCCAGGCTTTCGTTCTTCGTCGCTTCGCGGAGACGTTGCCTTTCCACTTTGAAGAAAGAATAAATCACCGATACGTGTACTTTACTAGAGATTAATAGACTTTCTGAACGAGATTGCGCTTATATCCGGACGATCGTTAGAACTCGATTTTCCTCCCGCTTACCCTCCGCGATCATCTCGTTCTACTAAAGATCCGCATGTATTCCTCTGCGGCCGATGAAAATGCACCGAGTGTAATCTAATGTAATACAGGACTTTTAACTCCCACCCGCTGATTTCACCTTATCTGCTGGTTGATTACGTCGTAGGAAACTAATTGCCTAGATTAGCCTATTGCGGTACGGTTGATTAAAAGCTGTACCAGCGAATCAACGAACAGCCTGCAGGTCTCGAGGAACGATAGCGAGCTTCGCGTGGACTTGCTATTTAATAATAAAAAAAAAAAAATAAATAAAAAAAGAGAAAACGAATGCAAAAGGGCAGTAAAAGTGAAATAAAAAGAGCAATCTAAAACTAGAGAAAAGAAGGAAGAAACGAAGCAACGAGTGGGATAGGTTTACGAAAAAGTGGGGGAGAGTTTGTTAACAATGCTGACAAGGAATAAGTTGGGCAAACATCGGCGCGATCCTCAAATATCGGCGGTCGCTTTGATCGTGCCGTGCCGTTAGACACTTGGTGTGCCTCCAGGTCCTCTTTGCTCTCTCACCTTTCCTCTATTTATGTATTATCGCCGTGGAACGATCCGTCGCGTCGCGTCGCGACGCCTCGATCCGCTTCGTCGTTTCCACGAACGCGGCCCTCTTCGCCAGCCTGTGTCTTTCATTCATAAAAACCGTCTTACACTCGCGAGTCACGTACCGATCCGCGAGATCGAAGGTACGACTAAAACATTTCGATATGGCCATACAACCGCTACGTGCACGATCTTCCTCCTCTTCTTTTACCTTTACGTCGGCTCTTTTACCGAATACCATCGAGTTCTAGCCTCTCTTTCAAACGATTATAGAATATTTTAAAAGGTAGAAAAAGAGGATATCGCTGATTTCCAGAGGTGTCTAAAAGCAGTCGTAAATGCTTAAACACAGATAGCGTCCGCAGGTGCCACGCGTAGGACCTTTCACGACAATAATCGACAGAATACCGACTGTGATTTTCGTCGGTTAGCTTAGGGCCAAGTTTACCCTACGATACGATGTACCTGCCCTTCACTGATAAATTTCTCGCAGCTTTCGTGAACAGGTGGACAATTTCTTGGTCCACGCTTTTTTCTTCATCTTTTTATAACGATCGCATTTGCAATACCTATGGTTAAGATGTTATTTTCGTTTTATCGTTAGTTACAATTTGCACAGTCAAGGATCGTTAAAGGCGAAATACGTACAATATTGATAATGATGTTAATTAATTGTCTCAGTAGATACCTATTGTACCAAGTAGCAATGACGCACACGATCAATGAAAAATTCATCAGACAACTGATTAACTGTGTTCGTTTGAATCGAACGACACGTGCCACCATAAATTTACACATTTCAGGAATTCTTCGATCGCAAATTATGGAATACATTTGAATGGTCAATAATTGTAGTGGCGAGTTAACAGGGGTTGAAAGTTTTAACGGGGAGGAAGAATCTGTTAGATTGTCGATACGTGACGAATCGTGGTGATTCGACAAAGAAGACGCATCCTTGGCGGCGCTTATTATTCATAAGAAAGTCAGATTCTGAATAAATCATAATAACGAATGCGTCAGAAGGTTTCTGACGTCCTGCAATGCAATCGTAAATGCACACGGTGTTAGCGTGCAGCAGGTGCTTCTTCGACGGTTGAAGCACACGCGTGCGAATGCAGCCAAACATCGTTAGCGAGCTTTCATGTTACCATTTCGCTAATTTCAATTATCTCAACTTGGGCGAAATTTCTTTGAGCTTTATTCTGGGTGTAAATCTAAGTCGGTGTTCAATTTGAGTGCAAAAATGTAGGTAAATCGCCACGAATAATTATCATCTTTACTTTTGAGGAGAAAGGAGATTAGAAAGAGAAACGAAGAAAATAGAATGATCGCGAGTAGTAGACGGTTTGTTGGAAGTGGAACGACGCGACGCCGCGAGGTTGCTCGTTAGGTTCACGGAGGTCAGACTGTAGGTGATCTGGCCGGAGGGTACGAACCCGGGGCATGTAGACCGGAAGTAACGTCACACCCGCGTGGCTCTGAATGCGCATACCGGATGTGTGGCATCGGCTCCCCATCAGAACCATCAACATCACATTCACAATTCCTGCACATCGCCGCCTCGTCGCACATCACATCACATCGCGTCTCTTCTCTCCACGGACTCGCGCACTCACGCACCATACAATTTTTTTCCCTCTTTTTCGACCGGCACGCACTCACCTCTTCCTCCCCTTATCCACCACCTCGAGCGCCGATTTTTCGACAAATTTCTCCTGTTCGCGTTCGACCGTGAACGACACTGTAACGAATCGAGCAGCTCTACCTATTTGTAATTCCATCAAGTTTTTTTTTTTCTTTTCTTTCAATAAAAATTATGCACCAAAATTAATTTACCAGGACAAAAAAGTGGATAACACTTGTAACGGGAAAAAACGGTTATCGGAATTAATTAATCAGCACGAGCAATGCCTCTCAATCGGAACTGATAAACATTCGACTGATATCCGGTTGTAATCCACTCAATGAAAGCGTGCACGATCGTTTGTTCCAGGACACGGTTCGTGTAAAAGTAAAACGCAATTTCACGTACTCATCGTTTCGATGAAAACGTCAAAGCTTTGCGAATCGAATCGAAACGAATCGAATTGAATTGAATCGAGCGGAGTCGAGGAGCGGTAGTCGAACGGAGTGGAGTCGAGTGGAATCGAGCGGAATCGAGGTATCGCGGCAATGATCCTGTAATTAGAAGTCGTTGAGAAACCTGTACGCGGTGGAACGTGCATCGAGAAAGAAGGAGAGAGAAAAGGAGAGGTTTCCGCGAGGCTGGAATACATATGCGAGTAACGAAACGAGGAGAAAAAGGCGGCACTCACCTTTGGTTATGTTCAGATGGACTCGTTCCTTCTCCCACGAGGCGAAAGAGGCCTCTAGGGCCTCGGTCATCTTCTTGTTGGTCCCAGGTGTTAACGGCGGTACTTGCGCCGGTATATCTGTAACAATACCAAATAACACCTCAAACGTTGCTTTCCTTTAAAGAAGTTGGGGCACGAGTTGGAAAATTTGAAATTTTATTAAAATTAAAAGGCTCCTAACCAGCTGTATAACGCGTCTGAAAAGAACGAAATTTCTCTCGGTCGTATGTGTGGTAGCTAAGGTGTTCAAGGATCAAACGGATAAGCTGAGAGTTTGAACGTTTGGATGTGTGAGAAGCGCCAGGTTAATGGTACTTTTCACAAAGCCGGCGTGTACACGCAGAAAGGACGCGTGCTCGTACACCTACCAAGGTGTAACAGAAAGAAGAAAGAGAGAAGAGAGAAGAGAGAAGAGAGAGGCTCGTGTAGACGAAGGAGCGTCAGGTGTCGGTCGCGGCGACGGCGGCGGCGGCGGCAAGAACAGCGAAAGCGAACAGGCAAGGGGGCATGCACACCATCCTAGATAGCATCGTCGTTGCAGAGGGGTGCAACTGGCGGGCAGGTGCAGGTGCATCATCGTCGTCGTTGTAGGTACGCTTGCTCTATGCCGTTCACTGTGCACGCCTTATGGTGTTCGCGAGAAATACACAATTCTGTATACCTACTGCTAGGCCATAGCTTAGCAAGAAATTGTATCACTGAATGGCGAGACTGTCTCTAATATTTCTAATAAAAATTCTTCTTTGTACTTTTAATCGTCGCTTAATTTCCAAGAAAAATCTATTGTTCTCCAAGAAAGAATGGAAGAAACCTTTCGAGATTACGTGACATTAGGTAGAAAAATCAGCTGCAGAAATTCTGAATAGAAAAAGGTAAGAGCAAAAAAGAAGGATGACGAAGAATACTTAAAGAAAGCGACAGGGTATCAAGGAGAAGTTAGAGACGTCCGATTGGATGGCACGAGTCGATAAAAATCGTGTTTCTTTGGCGAGCTCAGGGATATCTGCACAGCTGGATTTGCATGGCTATAAGCTCTTTCAACGGCGTACCGCCGAAACTCCATTATGTATGTATGGCGTGCACGCACAACGCACGGTAAGTCTCCCGTAGCCCGTAACCCATAAGCACCTTTGTCTCTACGCGCCACGCACGTACACGCACTCACACAAACACGTGCCACCGTGAATTTGCATACAGACGCGCGGTTACAAACGCAGAAAAAAAAGTATCGAGGCATCGTTTAGAGTCGAGAATTGTTGTTTCTCTACCTTGTCTCGTTGAACATAAAAAAATTCAGGGATTCTGATAGCAAGACAGACCGAAAAGTTCTTTACCACTTCAAAATCCGACGCTTCGTTCTCAAGATATAAGCGAATAAAGATTGGACGTTCAACTTCCGGTGAAACGACGAGCACCCAGGAAGTCGAATACCTAATTTTCAATCGTTTATATCTCGAAAACGAAGCTTCAGATTGCAAAGTGGTAAAGGAGTTTTCGATTTCTTTTTATACGTAGAATTTATATCCTCGTCGTGCTTTGGGTGCGTACACAAATTGGATTTGGAGAATTTTCAAATGTTTCATGGTACCGGTGTAAAGTAGATATATATCAAATGCAATATCCACGTATTTATCGTAATTGTGAAGAAAGTTGGGATCAAAGGGTGAGAAAAAAAAAACGAGACTGCCATGGGAGTCGAATTGAAAACCCCACGTGCCACGGCGCAACGCCTGGCCGTCGTGGACGGAATGTCAATCGGGGAACTCTTTTGCAAAAACGACGCCTGTGGCTGGCTCGTTGAGAATGCCGTGTACGATCGAACGCAACGAACCGCCGCGATGCCACCACGGATTCTCGTGGATCGTGGATCGTGGGTTGCAAATCCTTGATTTATCTACTTTAGCGAATGGACCACCCTGATGGCAAAATATTTTATTCTTTTATTTGATAAATTTTTAAAGATTCAACATTGTTACAGTCATCGAATTTCAAAGTACTTTGAAAAAAATATTGCTACTTGAGATTCAGAGAATATTTGAAAAAAAAAAAGAAATTCTAAGAAGTTCATTGAATTCAGGCGGTGAAAAGGGTCGAAAACGTCCAGCTGCGAATAATTCCCCTTTTTATTCTTCGTTTTTATCGAAAAAAAACTTGATAGGAAGACCGATATCGAAGCCAACGATGACCACGATGAGCATTGCTTAATCGAATGGAAATGCAAATGGCTAATGACCCGCGACCCAGCTGACATTTGACCCGTCTCGTTCAACATAAATTTGCATAGATCGTGTTATTTGCGGCCTGCTGCTACCTTGCCCACCGGTGTCTGTTGGTGACACCAACAGAAATATTTCTTTCATCCGATAACCTTCTTAATTGACTTAAAAAACGCATTTCTATTCGACGAGGATCAGGATTCACTCTAACGTTAGCGTTTTTTAGGAGCTCTAAAACGAATTTATTACCACCTTTCGTCCTCCCTGTTGAATTTTCTTCGGCATTAAGAGTGATTAGTGACCGAATAGGGGGGGGATTAGATTTCCGAGGTATGCACGACTGTTCATTCGATGGTTAACCAAGTGTTCGTTACGCACAGAACGCAGCGTCGATAAAAGGTTTCTTCTGAAAGTTAACCGTTCGTTAATTACGCGAGATAGAAAGTGTGTGCTCCCGATCTGCTTCGCTTCCGTGCTTTCTTTCACTTCCAAGACGCGAATTTAATAATCGCCCTTGCGCGCGATTACGCATTTTAAGAGCTGCGAGTCGGCATTTTTATTCGATGATTAAAACTGAAGCATTCATGAATTGCAAAGTATACACTGTATCTTCTGAAATACACCCATCAATTTCACACAATTAATCGGAGGAGGAATAATTAGCCGAACGAATGCCTGGTTTTTCCCGGAAACGCGTGGAACGCGTCAATCGAAATTAAAAAAACGAATTCTGACTTTTCTCCGCCTATGCTACGTTGCTTATGGGGTCGTAATTTTTTTTCCCTCCACGTGGAACATGCCAAAGTAAGTTTGTAGACGAGTTTAACGGACACGGGGCACGTGCTGGCAACGTCTTCTGGCTTATCCCTCTTTCCACCGCGACTCTGGAATATGCTCAGCAGCCAAACAACTGCGCCAGCTGTCCTGAACAAACTACTAGCCTGTAAAGAGAACGGGCATCCAAAATCCTCCATGGTTTTACAATTTTCAAAATTTCTTTTCTCCTTTTCGCCGAAAGTAAATGACAAACTATGAAGAAAATCGAAGCTCGTAAATGCTAAAATTACTGCTCGAGGATTTTACAATCATTATAGCGTTCGATCATGTGAATACACCATCGAGACAAGTCTTTTTCTCTTCGTGGTTCGCCAGAAGGAAAAACGTTTAATCGCGTTTCGCACGCAAGAAAGTAGCCGTCAGTCATTTACACCAATAACACCATGTGTTTTTTGTCCCGTTCGATTTGCTTTTACCCAACAGTTTATCCCACCATCGTTTGTACTTATCCTAATTGACACTTCCCTCTTATCTCGATCTCGCTAATTAAGACATTCATATCGAAGTCGCAACCATACTGTGTCGCAAGCCGACACTGATTTTTTAGTATTTGGAAAGTTCGACGAATTTATTTTCTATCGATCGATCGACAACCTATCATTTCATCTAATCAGTCGATAATTAAAATTTCTATTTTCAATTAAAAATTTTTCTAAAGCCATAAATGATCGTCAGGGACAAAGAACTGTCCCACAGTTAATCACGCTAATTAATGAAACACATGGTGCACAATTTCAACGTGTACGTGACCCTTGTACACCTGTTGCACGGCTCGAGCCCTCTAAAAACGTGCAACGCGTTCAATCGTCTGTTATGGGAAGCCACCCCAACCTTTCTATAGGGAGAAACGTCCAATTTACCTCTGGAGAGGGCGTGAATACGAGACGAACGAGGGTTGCTCGGGTAAAAATAAAATTCAACGAATCTACCGGCCGCAAATCTCCAGAGATCACGAGGGAACTTTCCTTTCCTAAAAATAGTGAAAAATCTGGTACGTGTCGTATGGTAGAGATGATCGTTTACCATTTGGAAAGTTTATCGAGAGGTAGATCTTGTAATTTCCACGTACACGCAAACATCCTGGCTGGTTAACGAGCAAGGACACACATGCTTGTCAGCCCGCGGTTTTCCCTCCCAAAAGGACTGACCAAGACTGTCCGGTAGTTAGATAAAAGCTTATCTATCTGTGCACAGTTTGTTTGCACGCGGTGCGTCGTCATTCTGATGGTATTTTCAACCACGCCTCCATTCGCGTGGTTAAACATCACCATCGATGGTGTTTTTCAGAAAGGCCCAGAACCATGTTTCTGTATCGTTATCTTGCAAGTTTCGCGTTCGACCGTGTGGAGTTTAACTCTTTAAAAATTTCATCGTAGAGTTTGGTATTCGTAATACTAAAAAAAAAATAATTTTCCCATCTTATAGTTTGTCTCTCACAGTTGTTATCGACAAATCACAGTGTTTCCCGCGATTTCCGGTTCGCTATTGCGTCCATTTTATCACTCGAACGGCTACCATACCGATAATTAAAGAATATTAAGACGCTGAAGGGTTTCGTACTTTCCCCGACTAGAAACGAAATAATTATTAACTGGCTCTGTCTGCTGTTATCGCTTTGAAACACGCGGTTTCGCGATAATCATGGTCTAACAATATGTCGCCACCGCTCGTTAACATTTTGCTTATCAAATTGCTATGAAACAAGGAGTTATCGTAACAAGTGGTCGACTGTGACACCGCAACCGGGATTACCGTGGTCCTGGATTACGTTTCCTTACGAATAAATATGAATTTATAATTAGATAAAAATAGAGCGAGACTTGCTCTAAAGCCAACCCTTGGAACCAAATGAAAAAAAAAAAAAAAAATTTTTTTTCGGCCATTCGTTGAGATTTTGACCCACTAAAATGACGAAAGAATTTTTTCGACAACTCTTACCGTTTGGCCCCCTTCTCAAGATTCTCAATCTTAGATACGGGTTGGCTAATAAATTCTGCAAATTCGTAGAGTGATTCGATACGAATAGGTAAATTCAATGTGTGTTAAGATAAGAGATCTAAATTATAATGTTAACCAACAAAGGAAAAAAAGGCTCCTTTTGATGAGAGCAACAAGTGGCATTGTTAGAGGCATTTGATTATCAAGAAACCGCGTGTTTCACCGAGATACCGCACAACCGGCGTGTGTCCCGCGATAATGTCGACGCTTGTCCAGCCAACTTCCTGACCCGCTTCCACAGAGATTTGTCCAGCAGCTTTTCAACGCACGTTCTCTATGTAAATAAGAAAGCTAACATACTACGACGACGCGGTGAGCACACGTGATTGCGGTCCATGGAACGGACAATTATCGGAGCACGGTTGATTAGCCGGTTGCTTCTCTCTCTCTCTCTCTCTCTCTCTCTCTTTCTGCTTTTCCAACAGATAAAACGCTTGATTATCGGCTGTCGTCCGTGGACATGGTTTTTCCACGAGAAAATCCTACCCACCATCGAATGTTAAGCGACTCGCTAATTAAAGAATCCCGTGGTTTTAAACCCGACTACGAGATAAAGCTACTCGATTTCAAGATGATCGAGTTCGCAGTCAATGTTACGTCTAACTTGGAATTATTTACGATTACGAATGTTTATAAATAATAAAGGATGAGACTGGTATTTAAACTTTCCTCTAAGGCTCTCGATTTAATTAATCCTTTAGAGCGTTCTTCGCTCCGTTAATAGAAATTTCGTTACGTGTAAATTATCATAACTTCTAAAATAATTACCTACGATATCGTGACGTGGTTTTTACCGATTAAATTTGCGTGTCGGTGTGCAGTGTACCGCTGTCAGTTCGGAAGCGTTAAAAATGTAAATTCTTATTATCATGGATCTGTTTTCACGCAATCAAAAGTTTTTTTCGAACGGCGAGAATAGTGGTAGCCATCTAAAAAGTGTCATGCCGATTCGAGCTGAGCAATTCGATTCGATCGGTCGCGATCTTGTTTCGATCATAAGAACGATCGTGAACGCGGATAACGAGAATCGAGGCAAAAAGAGAGCCAGGCCTTACGACGTCGTCGTCGTCGTCGTCGTCGTCGTCGTCGTCGCTGCTTTATCGCGATTCCACGGTTGCCCGTGCAATTTCCATCCGTTCAATTACCCGGCTCGAAACGAAAACCGTCGACCTCGTGAATTAATAACGACGCGAAATGAGAAAGTAATGATCTCCGCCAATCGTTGTCGATCAATAATTTCGCGAAACCGGTAGCCATTGCCGCTCAACGTTTCCGATCGGGCTCGCGATTTTTCTATCTCTAGCAACTTGTTGCCTCTAATACGATTTTCAAAAAATCAATTTTATCGTCCGATCGATTACACATTTTATTTTTGTTTCATTGCGGGGCGTTAATTTTAATAAAAATAAAAGCTACACGGTATTGAAAATCAATTCGAAACGAATAGAAAATAGATTGCAGTTTCAGCAACAACGGAACAAGTATCTAATCTGGTTTCCATTCGATCGAAGGAGTCGAAGCTGTTCGAAGCAAGCCGTTCGATCAGATTCCGGTGCGAGTTAAAGAAGCTAGCGTGAATCACGAAAAAGATTAAACGCGTTCCACTCGAATCCGTCTTCGACTCGGTGATATCTACATGAACAAAACGGATCAAAAGCCATTCGCTGAAACCGGTTGCCAGGAAGCGAGCAGCAAGCAGTAGCAGCATCCTCTTGGATAGCTTGTTCGCAAAGAGATATCCTTTACCTGTGCACGCTCGCCTGTAATCCACCCGTGAGATTTATCATTAAGCAGAAGTTTCAAGTGTAAAATAACCGGTGCAAGACCCTTAAACACCGTCAGAAATAATTTCATCTCCCGCTTATTTCTTTTCTCCATCTTTTTCTTTCTCTTTTCGTCGATTCACTTTTAAGAAGCCTCGTATCATTCATTTTTCTTATTCGACATGAAAATTGTATCTTACAACCAGCTCTCTACTTTTTTCTTCTTCTTCTTCTTCTTCTTTTTCGATCAAATTTCAATGAAACATTTAATTATTTCAACCCAATGAATGATTACAGGAATATGATTCTGGATTTAAAATCTGCCATCGACTTAATAATACCAATCGATTCATTAATTACGACAATGTTTTAAATGAAGCCAACGGAATTCCTGTTTCATTTTTTGAAACAAGATATTAAACTCTTAAAGTACGAATAGTATTACATCGGATAACTATATTTTCCATTACTCCTGATATAATTACCTCTTTTTATTTTTTGTTATTATAATTGAAACAGTGTCGTTGATTAAAGCCTACGCTTATCGACGCTTTCGAAAAAAGAAAAAAAGAAAAACAGTGGAGTTAGGTATCTTTGATTTCCCCTATCAGAGCGATAATACTATCCGTATAATATCCCAGTTTATGAATGAAAACTCGTTTGCTTCCGTTTGAAAAAAGCAACACACGATGGCAAACACGCGTCTCCATTGATAGTTAACAGAGACTATCGATTAATCGTTCGTATTTGGAGCGGATTACTTTGGAGCTAGACAGATTGTGCGACATATGTCGAGGATGCCGCACGAGTGCAACCTGCATCCCGGCTGCATATTGCACTTCCTGCAGTTGCTAGGACTCTGCGGTCACAGTGGGGCGAAGGAAAGAGAGGTTTGTTCTAGAACCGAACTGATCTTTCACCCTGATACGTTCCCTCTGTTCTCCAAGCACGAGCCATTTCTCTCCTGACCAAATGGTGCAAGAGTATACAGCTTTGACTAAGATTTGCGGTTATAATTTCTAAATCGAACATTTAAATTCTCCAAAACGTTTAACCCTGACTGGCAAAGGAACGCGTAGTACTACGTTCCTAAAACAGACCCCTATATACCCAAAGCATGCTAACCACCTCAATAGTCGAAGCGACCCACCAACTGTGTCAACAAAAGGCACGACGTTCGAAACGACGAGTGCGTAGTACTACGTTCAAAGTTAAAGAGTTACTGTCGTGTCGGCAAACATCGAACAAAAGGCGACAACGTCGAATGGCAAACGCGAAAAAGTTTCGCGAACAAAAGAATATTCAAGCGTGTGTGTGTGTATGCGTATGTGGTCACATGGTTTCATACCTCTGGGCCTGGCAAAGGACTTCATGGCCTTGATTCCCATTCCGGCATAAACGTCGCTGCTGTAGTCAACGTACATGAGTGCCGTCCTCGAGTGCTCACTGTACATACACGAATCCCCCGAATCACTGTCATTCACTCGATTTCCCGCCACCTATTACATCACTTATGTCCGAGCGTGCACGAACAACGCTTCGAAATTTTTCATCAAAATTCTTTTCAGCCATCGATCGAATCTCGATCGTCACGACATCGCGATCAACCGGACGCTTCGAATAGCGTTCGCTTAGCTAGCAAATCTTTCTATCCCATCGCCGTGTGTTACCATTTTTTCGTCGTTCGCGACGTTAATCGGATGTGTCCTCGATGACGTACCGCGTCAATAATGCGTCGTCCACGATTTGGCAGAAGCTAGCTGCCTTGTCATTCTAGGCGATCTAGGCTGGCTGCACTTGATTAATCGCTTCGGGGTAGGTAAAGATCGTGCTTCCAAGATGGCTAAGTGGATTTTGTAGAGAGAAGTTATCACTTGGGATCTGATTCACAGAATACTAGTGTCGAGTACTCCAAAGTCCGAAAATACTAGCAACACAGCTCTTCGGTCCGCAACGAGTCATTCGGTGCTCCAAGCTGCACTATTCCAAGTAGAACAGGTCTACGCCTCGCGAAACCGATCGGTTTCGTGTAAACACCGTTTTTGACGAGTGGTAATGGTTTGACGCTGCGGCGACAAGAAAACACGAGGGTTATGATCGCGCGTGATCCTCGTGCAGGAAGCCGGTACGCGCTGCGTGTCCAGCATGTGTTTGCTATCGATTCATAACCGCGGCCCGTGGGCTATTTCCGAATACCTGCTTGCGCAACCCGTCCAAAGATGAAGAAGAAGAAGAAGAAGTCATTTGGAGGGGAGGGTACAGAGCGGTGCGGTCCGGAACGGAAACGAAGAACCGTCTCGCGGACTTGGCACCGAAAATACGGTCGAGTTAGCCGGTAGGTAACTCGCTTCCAGTTCGTCTCGTTTCCCCTCGAAACTGGTTCGATTTTCAGCTACCGTGTGTCGTTCGTGGGTCACTGGCGCACTCGACGCACACACGCGGCCTTGGAAATCCGTGAAACACCGGCACGTATGAACAACCACGATGATTTTCGATCGAAGATCAAGAGGATCCGAGGATCGAGGTACGATCTTTGCTGAGAAAGAGAGCGGATTCGAAGCGCCACCGTCGCGAGAGCACGTACGACCGCGTTCCGCAGGTAAGTGCGTACGCAAGGAGAGAGAGACGAAGGGCAGGAACCAAGAAGAAGAAGAGGTAAGAGAGAAAGAGAAGAGAACAAGGCGGAGAGAGGAAGAGAGGTTAATGCTGGCTCTCTGTCGCACGTTCCTGGAGGAAGAGGACACGATCGCGGGAAGGGAAGAATGGAGGGAAGAACGAAGAGGAAGACGGAAGACCGGACGAGGATCGAGAGGGGATCTAGAGAGTTTATTCGAAGCGACGAGGTGGGGAATCGTGGTGGCGGAGGTGGACGCGTACCGTCAGCTCTTATTCCATGTCCTTCGTGGAGCTGAATCGCCCAAATTCGTCCAGATTCCTCGAGGCTCACGAGATAACGAAATTTCAGGATTTTCTCTACGAACTTAACGAGGATGACACCTCGATGTAGACGTAACTGTTCCGAGTATTAGCTAAGATCGAGGGAGAGTGGATGAATGGAAGACGTAGTTCTAAAATGAATTAAACGTTGTTCAATATCGATGAGAACCCTGGATAATCAACGAACGAAAGATACGATAGAGATAAGAAGGAAGATAATTCCTTGCTCGTTCGTACACGTTTCTGAAAGGCATTCGGCTGCCAAAATCACTAGGAAAGCTGAAACAACCACGACTCGAAAAGCGTAGCCTGGTGTAGTTACCCAAATCCGAGTATAAACGTAAGTGAAACCAGCCAGGATCTATCCACGACACCATCGAAGACAAACAAAGAGACAACCAGCCAGCAGACCGATAAGAGTCGGGGATGAAAAGAGAAGAGAGACGTTTCACTCTGTCTCCTCGTTGAATCCCCACCAATGCTGGTGCACGTTGGCCTAGCCGCTCTCCGCGCTTAGTTTTATGAATGAATACTCTCCCGTCGACGCGGTAAACTCACACTGGCGTCGGCGCACACGACTATCCGCTTCCCGTCTCTCTCCTTCCACCCTCATCCCCCACTCCTCGTCGCAACGACTCGCTCTCCTCTCCGTCTCTCCGTCGTCCACCTCCATCGTCACGACTCGTTTTACTCGCGGGCACTCGTATAGATCCGTCATTGTTTAACCGCTACCTTCTTCGCTCATTCATCCTCTTCCGTCCACGTTAAAATCCGTCCTTTTCTTTAGCGGACGAGAGAGTGTACATAACATACGCGTCGAGGTGTCGGTATCTCGTCTCACGTAGAAGCGGCGCAGGCGCACACGAAGCGGAGTCGCGGTAGCCGCTTCATTCGCTCGGTTCTTCGTTCATTCATGCCGTGCGGCCACACGTTTCAACCGTGTTGTCTGCCTGCCATCCCCACCCTGCATCCCAACACTCTTGATTTTTCCTTTTGCCTTTTCCCTCTCGCTCCCGCTGACGTCGCGACGCCCGCAAAACATACTATTCACGGTAGGACGATTCTTGCTCGCGCCAAGATTTACTCTGACCTATCCGTTCACCAAGTTCCTGCACCCACGTGCACAGAGCTGAACGTTATTTATGGTTAGCCGCGAATACAAAATTTACCAGTTTCGTCTCCTCGAGATTCCATGAATTATTCCTAGCGGGATAATCGAGAGAGTGTCGGTGCATCGATAAAAAGAAGAGATTTCATTGAACGAAGGTCTAGTAGGGACGGAAGTCCACTCGGCTGGTAATAGACATGGCTAGCCCGTTTTCAGTGAAATAATCGCACCGGTGAATAGGTAGTAGCATTCGGTGGAAGCGGGACGTAATTACGCGGTACTGCTCGAACGCAAACACTATTTAACAACGTCGAGTAATTTCTGCCTGTCCCTCCGTCTCTTTCCCGCTTGAACGCCACTCGAGGATGTTGGCTGGTGTGATTAATGTGAAACTTCTTGCTCGCGGGCAAGGCTAAAAATTTCTTACGGGACGCATTTCCGGCAGCGCTGGACCATTCATAAACTCGTCTCTCTCGATGTATCGGCGAACGCGACCAGACTTTTATCGTCTCGATTCTAGTCGACCTGCTACCGGTTCCGAAACAAACTTCCACGTAACGATGTTTTATAAAATTATTCGAGGCATACTATATGTTATCTAACGATTTGAAAAGCAACTTAGTATATATCTATATGCTCGTGAAACGTTTGAAAATCATTCTTTTCTTTAATTTGTTGAAGCGAAACGAGCAATGGGACCGGTTTAATTCCATTAACCCTTTCGAAAGAAGAAATTATTAAAACACTGTGAAAACAGCAGCACCAATTCTCATTCCCACGGTGGTAGTAAACGCGAAACCAGTTCGTTCGGAAAAATAATAAAAAGAAATCATATAAGTAGCCTGTCACTCGATTTTATCTATTAGCTCGTTTAATAATACGACATTAGACGGGCAACAGTTACGGACGCTATTTCTTCTTTATATTCGTGTTGTAATGATACGCCGTGTAAAATAATCTGTAATCTCTGAAAATTCTTCCAACAGTTTCAAAACCTTGTAAAAAGAAAATGGAAAGTTAACGAGCTGTACTTCGTTCCTAAGGACAATCAATTCCTAATTTGAAAGGAGTGTATAATAGTCCGCAGTATATGTGAAAATTCTTTTTCCATACCTTACAGAACGAAATGAAAAGTTAATAGACCGTTCCCTAATTCAATCGCACTGTAAATCTTATTTTTCCTTCGCTAGATCAACGGAAGATTAATCAAGACTGATCTCACAAAAAAATTCAAGACTGACACTGATTTGTCTTTTGATTTTCATTTTCCAGATCATTATTATGTCAATTATCGATCACGAAGATTTTTTATTTCTCATCGACAGACTCGTAAATTATACGGTAATTGTAACGAGGAAGAATTATTATGGTCGATATTATATTTCTAATTGCTTTCTAATTACTTTGTGTTATCCTTTATTACCGGTATCAATAATCCACGCTCTACTTATTCCTGATCTTCTATTCGAGTCAGCCTCTGTTTCGTCTTATTAGAACACGAGGTAAAGCCTTCCTCTAATTTGTCGCAGTTGTGTTTTCTGTTATTTAAACTATGGGCCACCGTGCTCGAGCTATTGTAAAGTATTTTTTTTTTTATTTCCAACAAATGTACCGGTAATATTTTATCGTAATGACCAAGGTGCGAGGGAAGAAATGGTAGAAACTTTCTGGGGTCTCTAATAGATGACCAAGAACCCGGAAGACAAGGCGAGAAAATCGTAACCGTCGATCAGGCAGCGGTGGATATTAATAAAGCGGAAGCAGGCGCAGAGAGGAAGGGGCAAAGCAACAAGAGCAACATCAGCTCGTGGCCTCCAGAGAGAGCCGAGAATAATAAGAGAAGAAGCCGAGGAGAGAACCGAGAGAAGACGTCACACGAAGACGTACAGGGAAGAAATGACACACCGGATGCGATAGGATGATAATTCAAGATATTACAAATCCGAATAATAAACTGACCTGAGGAGGAAGGAAGTAGCCGAATGCACAGGTTAACGTGGTCATCGGGTAAGAAGGGAAGAGAAGAGATAGAGTGTAAGAAACAGCCGACTGGATGAAGGCACGTTGATAGAGAGCAGAAGCTGCTCTCTCTCCGTGTTGTACACTTGCCGAAGGCTGGACAGGTTTTTGCCCTGTTTTTTACGCCGTTTATTATAACTAGGAAGCTGATGGGATGTTCTCTTCCTCCAACAGGGACCCAGCTCCGCGATCCTCATCGAAAAACTTTTTCATTTTCCTACCAAGTCGGATGAAAACGGTGCACGAATTAACAATTCTATCGAAACGATACGAATCATCTTTATTTCCAACGATGATCGTGGCTTTCTACCGAATCCTCTGACGAGTAACAGAGGATGCAACGGAACGCAGCGCGTTTTAAAATCATAAAAAATGAAGAAAACGAGACAAGGTTCGAAAGAAGCGCATGATCATACGCAAAAGGTGTAGTTTAAAGGTGGTATGGAGAGCGTGAGAACGCATAAACTTATAAGGCACGAAAAAGAGAAAGGGATATACGAGGTGCTCCTTTCCTTGCCGTTGGAAACTGCTCCAGAACCGTAGGATAGCCTATCCGTAACACGTCACTTCCTTCCAGCCTTTATACACACCTATCTTTTTCACTCATTTACTCGCTATTTTTATCTTTCTTCATCTTCTTCTTCTTTTTCTTCCTCTCCGGTTAACATCATCCTTATAGCAAAAGTACAGGTGTAAGTTAGCCGTTTTGCCTCGAGAATAGAAACCATCTGCTTATTACAAAGGCATTAATGTTTTTCTATCAATGAACCGGCTCGTATGTTCCTTTTACCTAACAAATATTTAGTCATTTAAGAACACCTGAGAATATTTTTACAAATCATACATTTTTTTTATAAGGATTATTAAAATAATTGAACGTAAGAGAGGATGTATCGCGGATGTAAACAAGAGAGGATCGAAAGTGAACGCTTCTCGACTAGAATTTCACACATTAATTAATAAAGGGAATTTTAACGACCGTTTGAACAGCGATGAACGCGCAGCAAACTTCGCAGAGAATATATGAGAAGCGTTTCGGATCGTAAAGGCGAACACCGAAAGCGAACATTTTCGGACGATCCGCAGTTTCTCGTATTAATTAGCATAGAAATTTAACGAGCCGTGGAGATGGCCAGGCTCCACGCGAGTGTATCGTCTAATAGTTGCATAATTTTCCATTCCGTAGCCAACCGGCTGATTCGATGAATCTAACTTTTTCTCCATTGACAATAATTAAAGAATTGAAAATCTGGTAATGGCAGATTCGCGAAATCGTGGAGAAATGAGAGCGGAAGCGTCGAAGAAGAAGTCACGGGCCATGCGCTTGGGGTTACCGGAAGTCGAGTGACCGTACCGGGGCAGGTGAGCGAGATCCCCTCGATCTTCCTACTCCCGTCGCGTCGTCGGGTAGGAAAGGAGGAAAAATGTCGAGAAGAGAGAAAGAGAGAGAAGCCGTAAAGGAAGTGACGTTGTAGCTCGTTCACGCTGGAAGAGGAGAAGAAGAAGAAGAAGGTGGTTCGGTGCTCCACCTTCTATCACCTAGGAAAACAGCCCATAACTCTTTCCCGTGCCGGTGATTCTTACCACTGACAATGGAGATTGCACGTAAAACGTATGGTGGATCGTGATAGAGTACCAACTCTATCTGGGAACCAGATACAAGTAGGGTATATCAAGATCGACCAGCTGAACCGCGTTTACCGCTTCGAATGCTCTTACTACTTTTACATGTTAACTTGCTAAATAGAAGATCATTCCGTTGATTACGTTTACACGGCGAAACATTCGGCTCGATAACGATTGTCTCGGCAACGACAATTTTCTCTCGCAACACAGTCGATTATCGTGGCACATCGGAACGCAGATCGTTGCGTGAAAGTCAATCGTCCGTTCGTGCAAAGCAGAGAGAAAGAAGGCGAGAATGAATGGAGGGAAAGAGAGAAGAGGAGGCGACAGTTTCCGGTCTCTCTGAACGAACGTTCACTCCTCTCTGCCTCTCTCTATCCTCGCTGCTACTCCATTCAAACATTTGGCAAACCACTTTTCCAATAATCTCCTACTCTCTATCTTACCTTTCCGACCAGCCGAATTTCTTGAACCAGTTTCAAGAATTTCTAGCGAGAATTAACTGAAATAGCTGACGCGACTATGTAGGTCTCGAGGAGATTCATTGCTGCTCTGTTCAACGATCGACCGCACGCAAATTTTCATGAATTCTCTATAGAATAAGTAATCGAGAAACTTTGAACCTTAAGATTTCGATGACATCGTCCACTGTCCCAAATTCATAAGTTTCTCCATTTGCTCTCGTTTGTAATATTTCAGAGACGTACATATGTAATATATCTTCCAGCTTGCATAATGCACCGTTGCTTTAGTTAGCGATCTCTATTTGTATAATTCAAAGGCAATTAGCATAATAGAAAAATCATAGGATAGGAAAAAGTTGGCGTATCGAAAGGAATATTATTGACA